GGGACCGAGGAGTTCAGAGTGTGGGAGGGGGCTCAGGGCTGGGGCAGAGGGTTGGGGTGTGGGGGGGTGAGGGCTCTGGGGTGGGGCCGGGGATGAGGGGTTCAGGGTGCGGGAGGGGGCTCAGGGCTGGGGCAGAGGGTTGCAGTGCTGGAAGGGGTGCAGGCTCTGGGGGGTGCCGGGGATGAGGGGTTTGGGGTGCAGGCTTCCCCGGGGAGAGAAGACTTCCCCCAGCCCTCTCTCGCTGAAGCAGCCTGGGGCCAGGACAGAGGTGCCTCTCCCCACCTGTGCAGCCCTTGATAGCCTGCTGTGCGGCTTAGAGAGAACTTAGGTGACGGGGATCCCACGACCTCCTTTGGAAGCCAGTTCCAGAGCTTAACCGCTCTTAGAGTGAGACACTTTCCCCTAATATCGAACCTAAATTGCCCTCGGTGCCCATTAAGCCCATTACGTCTTGTCCTGCCTTCTGTGACACGGAGAACAACTGATCCCCGTCCTCTGTAGAACAGCCCGTAACGTAGCTGAAGACTGTTATCTGGTTCCCGCTCCGTCTTCTTCTCTCCAGACTAAACAGGCCCAGTTATTCTAACCTTGCCTCATAGGTCAGCGTTTCTAAACCTCTGATCAGTTTTGTTGCTCTCCTCTGGAGTCTCTCCAGTTTGCCCCCATCTCTCCTAAAGCGCGGCGCCCAGGGCTGGACACAGCTCTCCAGCCGGGGCCTCCCCAGTGCCGGTAGAGTGGGAGAGTTACCCCCCGTGTCTAACACGCGCCCCTCCTGTTAACACACAGTTATACCCAGTCTGGGACGTGTTTTGGGGCCCGGTGGGACGAGAGACCCTAAGGATTGTTCTACCCAGCGCGCTGGCCAGCAGCCCCCTCTCCACCTGCCGTGATAGCCAGGACTGCACTGAAGGGCTACAGGGGGGAAACCGAGTTGCTGTCCTCTGTGTCCCACGCTCACCCTCCTTGGCCTGGGAGCTCACACTAGCCCACTGGAGACCCCTGATGATCCTATAGGCCTAACCCCCCAGATTTCCCCCTGCACCACTCCAAGGGTGGGGGGAGCTGTGACCTCCTGTTGGGGGGGCTGAGGCCTGGCTTCTGTCCCCTTTAGCTCCCCCCTCCTCACATTCCCCAGCTCCTCCCTCCCTCCTCTCCATCTCCCCCCACTTTCCCCTCCAGCTCCTCCATTCTTGCCCCTGCTCCCCCCTTGGCTGGGTCTGTGCAGGGTCAGATGCCTGGTCTCTGGCTAGTCGTCCTCACTCACCTGGTGCCGCTTTGTCCCCGGGGCCAGTCTTGGTAGCTTTGCTCCTTGGCCACATTTCATCGCTCTGGTGGGAGAGCAGAAGGCAGTTGAGAGTCTCTCCAGGCCCCATTGCTTTATACAAAGACCCTGACCAACACTGGGGCCCTCCATGGGGCCGGGCACATCACAGACACCCCCAGAGCAAGATCGGGGACCCGGGCACTGCACAGACCCCCCTTGACTGAGAGTGGCCCCGTCACACTGGGTGCTGCACAGACCTCCTGACCAAGACTGCAGCCCGCTGCACTGGGCGCTACACGGACCTGGGCCCCCATCGTGCCAGGCGCTGCCCGGATACTCAATGAGCAGCAGTCACTGTCCCAAAGAGCTCACAGTTAGTAGAAATGGCAGACAAAGAGCGGGAGGGGAAACAAAGGACCAGGGAGGGGAAATGACTTGCCCCAGGCGACACAAATAGTCAGTAGCAGAGTTGGGAAGAGACCCCATGTGTCCTGAACCCTGGTCTGTTACTCTATACACCGGGCAATGCTGCCTCTAAATGCTTGAGTCTCTCCCCAGCTCTGGGAGGGGAGTGGGGTCTAGTGGTTAGAGCAGGGGGGCTGGGAGCCAGGACTCCTGGGTTCTATCCCCAGCTCGGGGGGAAGGGGAAGTCTAGTGGTTAGAGCAGGGGGGCTGGGAGCCAGGACTCCTGGGTTCTATCCCCAGCTCGGGGGGGAGGGGAAGTCTAGTGGTTAGAGCAGGGGGGCTGGGAGCCAGGACTCCTGGGTTCTATCCCCAGCTCGGGGGGGGGGGGGAGGCTAGTGGTTAGAGCAGGGGGGCTGGGAGCCAGGAC